ATATATATATATATATATATATATATATATATAAAATATAAATATAAACATAAATATAAGTGTAAATATCCAAATCAGTATAAAAATACGGTTATTGTTTTATGTCATCGTAAAGAAATAATCCCTTGCTAGTCTCACAAGAAGTTTCTGACTTTCTCACAAAGTGAAATTTGTTATTCACCAATACCACAGGCAAATGTGACGAAACCAGATTATATCAAAAAAAATGAGAGGAAATCAAAAGGAACGGGTCTCTTAAAACAAACAGCAACGCAAAATAAGATTTATTTGAAGGTAAAAGATGAATATTAGCACTTTAATTCGAAGCACAAAGAACCAGAGCAATGATATCTCCATTTATGTATTTATTTGATAACGCCTACAGACACAAACAAGTCGCCTGCCAAAAAATGGAATAAAAAAGCTTAGCATTAGTATCAAGAAAAATAAGGAAAAAATTTGGTAACTACAATGCGACTAAAATATAAATCCCTATTCAGCAATAACTACGCCTTATTTTTCAACTATGTATTACACAGATCTGTTTCAAGCCAAAAGTCAAAGTGCCAGCATTGGTCAACAAATATCCAATGTGTTCTTCGGCAATCAAATTCTGTAGCGAAACAATCTCAATTTCAGAACAAACAGCACTGAATTAAAACACCACGTACCAAAGCGCCTATCGATAAAACAACAACGAAACCGAAGACACAAGTGACAGATAAGGAACATACAAAATTATGCCACAAGCTAACATCGAATGAGCTGTTTAATACATATGTATAACTAAAAACGCTGACGAAATAAAATTTAATAGGTCAAAAAGATTCACAGCCTGTCAAAAGCAGTAATTAAATTACGCTTTCTTATGGAAGTGAAACAGACAAAATATTTTCATCAGATATCGACGACATAAAAAGTAGCCCTTTTAGTATGCACGTATCACACACCGGTTTTGTAAACCCCTTGTAGAACAACATTACATCAACTGTTTTTTTTTTTTAAACTTATCAGCCTCAGCGCAATAACTCTAGTAAAAAAAACCCGAGTAAGAAAGATTTTCAAAATCTCAAATTCATCAGAAAACCTTATTCAATCGAAAACAAGTATCACCTAAACAGCCTTTTTACTCACCTACTTAGAAGTATTGGAGCTTACCAATATCAATTATACGAATAGTAAAAAATGACATGAGAATATTTTTTATATCAAGTGAGGAAACAAACTAACGCCCTCTAACAATTCAGAAGATGAGCTCCGTAAATGCGGTTATTTTCCATTGAAAGTAATTATAATCAGTAGTTAGCAAGTTTTGAGTTAAATCTGCAGATAACTAAGCCTCTCTATACAGACAAACAGATAATAATGCGTTCAATCAACCTAATAATTCAAACAAGCCATTAAAATGTAGTAAAGTCAGTAGGCTGATGTTAAACACAGCAACTAACCATTCGATTTTGACTGATCCTTCACAGCATCTGCGTCAGCTGCGGCTTTTGCAATTGCATTTACAGATTGTGGTACAGCCATACGAACTTGCCAGTTTTGTACAGCTGAAGAGACTAGAAATTTATTCAATAGGTCTTACGGACAAAGTGGAAAGCAGAAACCAAGTTTTCAAAAAAAAAAAAAAAAATTAATTTAGAAAAATGTAACTATTATTTTTCGAACCTCCTAAAAAAACTACTCTAACCTATCGCTACATAACAATGAACGAGCTCTGAAACTATGTTACTGAC